ACAACCACCAGCGGAAGCTCTGGAATCTCCTCGATGCGGTGGCCTGGCCAGGATTTTACAAGACACAAAGTTACCCACCGACCTGGGCTGTCTGCGTTTCCCGGGGTTATGGCTTGTGTATTCAGAAGGGATACAAAATGATCAACGGGGAAATGGAAGTCACAATCTAATGTACAGACGCAGTAACTACGGCAGTGAAGCTTCACTGGAGCCTGGGGGGCCTGCCTCAGACAGTGCTTTCTGTACTCGAGTAAATATCCAGTGGATCTTTGGCTTCCACGACCAGAAATCAACCCCAACTGCCACGTGGATCAAAATTCAGTTTCTGTAAACCGCATGGACAAGATTCGTGCCAGCAACGCAGACAGAAGCACCTCGGCACCACCAAACTTCCAACACCGCCTAACCACAGAGCACCTTCCCGAGTGGCACCCAACAAAACCGCCGCTCCTACTGAAGAACAGGCTGCCTCTTCACGCCCCGACAGGGAATTTAGCCATTCCCGAGAAACACTGTGAGCAACCACACAGTAACTGCTACTGCTCAGGCGATGCGAAACCACAGGCCAACGTTTCTGGAGGCAGAGTTCCCACCTTTAGACATGACCAATGCTGGAAGAGCCGACGCTGCCAGAGCGGAGCAGACGGCGTAACGCTTTTGAGTGATATTCACTCTGCGGTGCCAGCGCCGCCAGATCTTGGTTGGGGCAAACATGCGGCCTCCACGACACATCTATGCAGCGACAGTTAAGAACAACTTTTCGGAAGCTTCTTTCTCTAGCGTGACGCTCGGTGCTTGCTCAGTGTTAGCTGTTCGTCAACCATCTGCACCAGTACACGGACAGCAGGCAACTGTCCCTGAGCACAGAGTAAGACGCAAATTACGACATCATGGCAAGGCGACGTGCATCACGAGATTCACGACATCCACCGCTTCTGCAGTGGGGAAAAACCCAAACCAGTGAAAGCTTCTGTTCACTAAAGCAAGCTCGAGTTTGCACACAGAAGGTTCTAATCACATGGCAATTATCTCCGACCCGGTGGTCCCGATCACTGTAGGTGGCCATTACCTCCAGTAGAAGATTCTGTTTCACATTTAAATACTTAAATATAATTTTTCTGCTTCATGAGTTCAGCTTTACACCTGCTGCAAGCGGCAGGGATGAAAGGATACATTTCCAAAGGCACCCTGGCCGGAGCGGTGAGTCCCACCACCTCGTACTCGAGGAATACGAGCGACGGCTCTCCCAGTACCCCAAGATTCAGCACTGGTCTGATGACCTGGAACAGAAAGATTTCAATTCAGATAGCAACAACACTGCAATTTTCATAAAGTCACCGACAGGCAGAACTCAGGACCACCGATCAGAACTTCCACTGTTATCACGGGTTTCAGAAACACGGACCAATGAAGTGGAATCTCATCATTTCAGCAGAGCAGATCCTGATCAGGTAAATTAACTCTTACTGTAGTGAAGATCTGCTTAGGTCAGAGCCAAGTACATTAACACACCGATTTCTAAGCTTGACCCTCAACGTGGAGCTCTCAATTGGCACTGCTGTTCCTACGGTTCAAAACGTTTATGTGAAACACCATCAGAAATCAACCTGAAAACGCAGGTTCCTGGCTCAAACCTCCTGGGAAGCACGAGCTGCGTGCACGTGCTGCCTTCTGAAGCAACTCTAACAAATTCCCATTTGCCTAAGTTTCTTCTGGGCAAACGCCTCGGGGAAGTCTCATGTGGGCAGCAGGGACTATAAAGCGCAGCTTTTCATTACTGTTTTCTGCCTGATACGCTGTCAGACATTTTGTGTTCGTCAGACATTTTGTGTTCTTCTTGCAGAGAATGCAGATGCCACTCGGTGACCGGGGTGCCACAATACCTTCAGCGCTACACATTTCGGATAAGACCCCAGAGTATGCCAGAAGTTTTACACCACCATGCTGTTTTTCAGAATAATAAAAAGTTGTATTCCATACAATTTAAAACCAGCTGTTAATAACTGGAACAGTCTCCTTGCCTTCTATACAGAATGCCACTGAACAGTGCTTATTTCGGCTCTAAATTTGTTTCCATTTTAGCCCAAGTGTACTAAAATCAAGGGCTAACACAAGCATTTCTGTCCACTTCGTGGCCTAGCCATACCTGCGAGTTCACTGACAGCGTAGGGCTGCCTGTTGTTCTTGCGCAAATTGGTGTGAACGAAGTTCACGATGTCAGGGCGGATGGGAGCCTTGAACACAGCAGGCAAGGTGACATTTTTGCCTGATGCTTCCCCCTTCTCAGAGTAGACGGATATCAATGGTCGAGCGCAAGCCTGGAAAAGGAGAAGGAAAGACTCTTAAGCACAAGTAAAGTAAATCGCTAGCATTCAAATCTGTCAAATATTGCTCAGAATGAAGGTGTCTTCAGTTCAACAGTGCCAGCACGCTGACAGCAGGCAACTGTCACTGAACACTGGATAAGACGCAAATTACATCATCACAGCAATAATTTTCACTCAACATAGTGCTCCACAGCACAATCCACATTCAGAACACTATACTCCCACATAAACCCCACCTGTGTTTATTCAGTTCACCAAAGACTTGTTATTTAGATTATGTTTAACGTTGAAATGCTGTAACCAATGTCTCTCATACAATACAGAGACTCACAACGATGACAACCAAGCAAACTTTGTATCACTAAATTTATTGTAAAGCCTGGGCCCTCTGAACAATCCTTGGTACCTCAAAATTTGTGACGTGAAAAATTCAGCTGCTAGCAGCACCAGCATCCTTCCAAAAAACTGACAGGACGTCCAATAACAGCTTGCTGGTCTGAACAGTGCTCTTTAAAAAGGGTCTTTCAGCATTATAGTGTATTTATCACTAAGAGCTCAAGGCAATAGTACAGGCAAAGTATCTTCCCTCCCTTTCCCATCCACTGTTCATTTTAGAGGCATCAAAAATACTACAAACTCAAAACTAACCAGCTGATAGCAACAAAAGTACTCTCTGTGCTTCTGAGGCTGGTTACCAGCAATTCACGGACTCCCGGAGGGAGTACAGAGACCCCAATGCAAGCAAGCGACAAACTCGATCAGGGTGAAGGAACCAGATCGCAATCTGAACTGTACTAGCAAGAAAAGTTGTTCAACTACAACCTGGTTTCAGAGCAAGGCCGCCTAAAACCTGTTTCAGAATAGAAAAAAGGAGTTAAAAAAAAAAAAAACACGCTTTACAGAATCTGTTAACTGTGGGCTGCAAAGCTTCCCTGTGGCTTTGCTTTGCTTTAAAGAAACACGCGAGAAAAAGGGAAAAGCCCTGCCAGAAGGCGCCGCGGGCCCGTCCCCGGCGCGGCCTCCCCACC